GCGGGGTGCGTTCATTTTTTTCTCCCATGGAACCTAAGCCCCCCCCCCCCTCAGAATCGACTTGCCACTTTGGAGTATAGGTTTGGACTGAAATTTTCACGAATGAATGGGCCTAGTGAGAAACGTTTGCGATAAAAGTTTCAGCGTTGTATACCCTACTAAACTAGACTTATGACTTGTTTTATATCTTCCACAAGAATTGCTATAACTTCATGACTATGAGAGCTATCGAAGTCGGGTCGGTTTTAAATTAAAACTAGCCTCTATACGCAAGTTTTCATCACACAGAATTTTGAAATTCCCTTCTGTTCATTTTTTATAAGTATTTTACTCGGTATGACTGCCAAAGTAGGTATAAAAAACGCACTAAATCGGACTTTTCTCAGTCCAGGAATCCAATATCGAAAGTCCGTCTGATAAAAAGTTAGCTATAATTGAAACCTTTAAAATAAAAAAAATATCAGGGAAAGCTAAAGCCAAACGAAAGTTATAGCAATTTTTCTACTTGAGACTCATGTTTTCAGACCAACATTTAGGAATTTTTAGAAAGGTGTGTGGGAGTAAGGGAGATGAAAGAGTGTTTCTTCAATAACTCTGTCAAAACTTGACCTTGAGGGTGTGGGTGTGGGTGTTGTTTTATCAATCACAGCTGCATCCACACCCATACCCACGAAAAAAGAGAAAAACAACAAAACAAATTAATCATCCACACGTTCACTGGTACTCTTCTTACTATATCCTTTTTCATACATTCATATATCGATATTTTATATCGATCTTAGAAAAGGATGGAGGATCGCCCATCTATAATAGGTGGCGATCCTAACACCTCCCCCCACACAAACGAAAACATAAGAAAAAAATCACAATAATAAAAAAAAAACTAAACAAAACTGTTCATTGATAATAGATTTTCGTACTCGATTTGATCTTGATGAGATTTTAAACCAATATATAATTGTGAACGAACTATACGGCTTGTCCAAGCGTAACGCTGTGACGTTTTGGCAAATTGTTTTTGAAATATCTCAAAAACTATGATTGCTGGAAAGTTCATTCAAACGCCATTCGGCGCAGCTCGGCGAGTTCTATATGGGCTATAAATTTGATGTTTTTTGCTTGAACTCAATAGTTTACAGAAATGGTTTATAGTCACGTAACACTGTGACGTAAAAAGCCCCCGAGTTTCCAACGCTCTCACTTATCGTTTAATTCCCTGCGAACGATGATCTGCAATTAAAATAGGCCTGGAACCAATTTTGTAGAACATGAAAAGGGCTTTTCACTGGTAAAAAAAGGTTTTCCTAGCTCTCATTATTCAAAACAAAATTCTAAAAAAAAAACGTAACGCTGTGACACACTTTTTCTCTATTATATGATGTACTTTCTAATCGATGTAGATTCATCTGAATCAATAGGTTTAACGTATCAAGTGGCGCCTATACGACTTCTGCTGCTAAAGACAGTATTGTCGCCTATACAGACTTGTTAAATCTCTATCAGGCTTTACATTTTCTCTTATAGTACGCAATCATTCTGTTATGAGTTCGACATCTTCTTGGAGACTCTTTGCCACTAGAATTGAAGCACATTCTATCTTCAACCCTAGTGTTTATCCAACTCGGGACGAAGACCCGGTCTCCTTCGAGCTGGGTAAATTTTTTTTCTACTTTTTAATATTTTTTATTTTCAAAGTTTTTCTAGTCTTTCTACTAATAAATCTTTTCTAACGAATTTGTTTTCTGTAACCTAAATCCAAAAATCTTATTTAAGAAAACATTTTTCTACTTTTCATCGTTTCACTAAACACACCTAAAGAGAAAAGCAAAGCGAAACAAAAAATCCAAAAACTGTAAATATCTACTGTGAATATTTTATTGTCGTTTTTTGATTACGCATAGAATAATAACGAAATTCTATTGTATTTTTATCAATTACATTAACTGAATGCGTTTTGAGTGTTTCTGGCACAGCTTTTGCCGTTTTGAAAATATCCTCAAGGTTAATTTTTGAGTTATCGATATCATTTCTTGTGATCTCAACAAGAATTACTTTGTTCGTTTTTTTCTGTGCAAGCTTAATAAAATCTTCAGCTGACCGGCACACTTCTCCTGCCAGTACGGCAGACCATACAAGACGTTTTACAACCCCCCCCCTATTCCATCTACCACACCTTTCCCATGAGATGTTGCGAAAAAGTTCCAACTCAGTTTGATGTTACGTTCATTATTAATTTGTATTAAGTTTCGAAAAAGAAAACGTTGTTTGAACTGTGAAGCAGCACCATCAGAAAAACAATTTACTTCTACAACGTTTGGTAGAACTGTTTCAATATGATTTAAAATAATTTTCAAAGCTGCATTGACAACAAACTTATCATGTGTCAAATCAAGCGATGGTAAAGCAAATGAAAAATTTTCACTTTTCGACCAAACAAAAGCTGTAAAAATACTCAATGGTTTCGTATTCCAATGTGCACTTTGAATCTCGTCTTGCTCTTTCATATTGAAATTCTCTGCAAAATCAACCTGAAGTAGAATCTTCTCATCAGTAACCTCCGTTTTCAATTTTTCAAAATACTTCGACTGCTCTCTTTTAATGTATACATGAAACAAAAAAATTCAATTTTTGATTTTAACATCAAAATTGCTTCATCAACACTTCCTGAGAACTCATTTTTTTCTACACGACCGTTTTTGCTGGCCCATTGTGACCAAGTAATTTTACTATTACTATTTGAAACATTCTCCTGGATGTTTTCTGAAAAGAAATCTTTACAAATAGAACAACATCCAAACATGCATTCTTCGTTATTAGTACTACAAACTAAGCTATCAGTAAATGTTGACAAAGATGAACAGTGTGTTCCATCAACGTATTTATCAAAATCTTTCAACAATAATCGTACATTTTCATGATACACGCATAGACAATTTCTATGTGCTAAAGCAGATTTCGAAACAACAAATACTGGCCTTAAATCAGCAAATGATGAACGACTTAAATCAACACTTTTATTTTCATCTTTAAAAAATTCATACGTTTCACGTAAATTATTAATCAAAATTCGTTTTTGATATGTTACTTTTTTCCCATCATCGTCCTTGACAACGACTGTGTCTCTTTTACCTGGTAGTTGATATGATATATCATCTCGTTGATAAAAATTATGGACATCAGTTTTTAGTTTATCAGCAAGTTGAAGCGTGATACGTTGATGTTTTGATTTAGGAACCAAACCAAACTTTTCAGCCAGATGCTGAATTACAACTTTTTTTTTCGATCGCATTTAGGAAGCGAAGATTTGACTTTTTTCAATGACTTACTGAATGACTGACGACTTTTAAATGAACTCGAAAAAGGCTTATTGATCAAACGTTTGATTTGATTTTCTCTACACTTTCTTTGACGAAGTTTTGCTTTACTACGAAATTCAGTTAAGCTTGCTCCTGACAATTTCGTTTTTATAGAGTTATTTCGAGCGCGAGCTTGTGCTTTCGCTGTTTCATATTTCACACTATCTTTTTCTCTTTTTTCTCGATATTTTTTCATTCGTTCAGCGTTAGTTTTCGCCATATGAACCTTGTAATAGGAACAAGTACTTACCGTGGTAAAAGTAATTTCAACTGTACGTTGAACAAGAATAGAAAGAAGAAAGAAAAATTTAGCTTAGTTTTTCTGTGCAACTGTTTATTATCGTATAGATGGGAATGACTCTTCTTTTTCTTTCTCGCCTAGTTATATATGATGAACGGAGAAAAGAAAATAACGGCAGGAAAGAAAATAACG